ATGCTTATATTTGCAGTAATCAGGGTTATACCAGTAGAAATGTCATGTATAGGCACGCAGTTTTTGCAAATACTGACTCCTGATAAATCAAAGTAACATATGAGATGATGTTTTTCAAGGACCTATCAGTGATCACTTTCCTTCTGTTTGCGAGAAACACAGTGGCGTTATTATAGACCATAAATACATATATTCCCATTAACCAAACAATTCTTTGACACTCATTTAAATAACCGAATACAAGAGGCTTGGAAATGGGGAAATATTGATACAAACATCCATCACGACGAATTTCAACTGTAATCAGTCGATTCATCCCATAGATAACGAAATCAAGGACACAACAAATTGAACTTTCATAGGTATCAGTACAAAATGACGTGGACATTGTTCAATGCGGAGAGTATTCTTAATTTACATATGAATTCAGAAAAAAAACTGTGAAAGAGGCACTTCATATACACCAAAGTGTGACGAAATTTACACCCAAGATAACTAGGGAAATTCAGCCTTCGCCACCTTTTTAACTACTTGCATTGGTCCGGTTTCTTCCGCCATTTATAGAAAAATTCCAAATATCGAAGCGTCCGATGTTTTCGCGATCGAACAGAAAGTATAAAAATGTAAAAGTTTCTTGTAGTGGCCACTGTCCACCTGAACTTTTAAAATTGAGGAAAGTGGTAGCTGCAAATTGCTGCTGCATTTAATAATGAAGCGTAAAGGACAGCCCTGGTGAAGTAGGCCTTTTTGAGGTGGGCAGTTTCTTCAGCTTGGGTCTGAATAGAGCAGACTGTCCTCTCTCGCTCTATATATCTCTCTCTCTCTCTCTGTAAAAGAGTATGCACCATATATTTTTTCCATTATATTGATACAACATTGGCAACATGTAAGCAGCCAAATGTTCAATTTTTTTGCAAAAACAGAACATCTATTGAACCGTCACCCTCTCTTAAGAGTAGGACGTCTTCTGTATACAAAAACAAGAATATCTCATCCATTAACCTACCGCATTCTGTTGTCAAATTGCATTGTGACCAATGCAGAACTGCTCGAACTGGATTGGCAGACTACACCCGCGGATCAAAGGAGCGACGTATAACGAGA